GCACTCGCCGTGGTATCCTCTGGGGTAGCAGTGGTGGAAGGTTAGCTCGTACGTCATAACAGGAACGGTAGCTGGACCATGATCATTCGTGGTCAGTAGCGATACGCTCGTGCGCAGTGGCTAGCGAAGGCAAGGACCAGCTGAGAACGCATTACAGCATTTGCACCTACGTCTGTTCTTGTACTTTATTCGTTTTGGGCCTGTTGATCCTTCAACTCAAGAACAAGCTGCTCCGACTTTCCGAGGCCGAGTCTCGGCTATTCTAAACGTACAGTAGTCAGCGATTGAAGTCATCATTAACACGCACGCTGATTCCTCGAATCCCACATGCGTTATGTCGATCCGTGAATCAGGAGGATCGGAATACGAGATACGAGGATAGACTATGTCCTCCCCATTTAAATTGCCAGAAACTTTGCCTCCGGGCCCCTGATCTTGGATAATGACGAAGGCGAGGAAAAATGGCTGAGTAGGAATCCTTGCTTCGACTGCTATAGCTTGGCAAGTCTTGAAGCCAGCAAAGAAACGAGCACATCATCGAAGATTTGGCGAAGAATGCAAAGGAAGAGATTAAACGAGCCTCTGCGTTGAAATGACGAGTTGACATCAATGACCGAAAGACACTTAAATGCTCAGAATGTATCTACGCAAGGCTCGAAAATTCCCTGTGGCTGCAAGTCCATCATCCATGCCAGTGGAGCCACGGTCGTGGGATTCGCAAGTCACAAACTATCCCTGGCAATAGTTGAGAATTTGTTACGCAACTGGCGAGTTCTTATCTTGTGCCTTTGCAACTTTCTCCATGTCTGGGTGACTTGAGTATACCGCTAAAGTTTTCGAGTATATTGGACTCCGAAAGGATACGTAACAACGACGGTGGTGGCAGAAGTCTTCGTTCAAGGACGAGCACTTAAACTCTGGCCTTAAATTCCCACTATCACGAGTCACGACAGCGAAGAAGGCAAAAGACATCGACCGATCATGGGCCTAGCCAAAGCACCACTCTTGTGACCTGCAACCACCCGCCAGCATAAATTTAGTTCATGTGTGTCGAAACTCCGTGAGCATGCTCATAGTACGAAGGTACAAATAAAACACCCGTTCAAGAATGAAAATCAACCAAGTCCTCAAGGCCAACCTACTCCAGCGTATAGGCAGGAGGTAGTCGACCTACAACTATTGGCGGAGGTGATGTGTTCATGTCTCTATAGCGAATCCCACTATCCTCCTCCCGAACAGCCCCTGTATCAACCGCTTCCCGCTGCGCACGCTTCATTCTCACGAAATTTGCCAGCCTGGCATTGTCAGTGCTGGGCCGGCGAGTAGAAGTCGTGATAATACTGCCTGTAGCTGATTCATTTTGAAGGTTCCGGGAGCCAGGCTTTTGTTCACCTGTCCAAACCTTTACCACATCCCTGAACGGCGTGGCAATCAAACTCTCATGATTCGACTCTTTCTCTTCCTTTCTCTTCTTCATGAAAAACCAAATCAACCCCGCAACAGCAATGAGGGCCATTACAATGCCCACCACGCCACCAACAATTGCTCGAATTGTCTTTCCTTCGATAGTGCTCTCCTTTGTCGGCCCCGACAATTGGTAATTGACCTGCGTTGCACCGTTTTCCACAAGTAAATAGTCAAGAATCAGGAACTGCAGTTGATCCGTAGGCCCGGTTCCTGTCCCGGAATATGTAATGACTATCTCGTGCTCCTTGCTCCCATCGAGTGAGTCTCTAACAAAGAGACACCGATTTCCCCATGCCGTGAAGTTGCTGTCTCCTGGAGCGAACGGAAGGCGTCTTGATGCTGGGATATCAAAGGGGACGGGCCTGCCGGTGTCAACATAGTAGGAGCCTGTGGTGCCCTTAAAGGCACTATTGTTGATCGCATTCGGGTTAACGCCAAAAAGGGATACGGAGGTTCCTTCGGGCATCAATTGAATGTATAAGTGATCAAATCAACTCGCTGTACAAACGGGCGTACCGTTGAACTTGAATGACATAGTTGTCCCCGCCATCTGCGTTCCGTTGTAAAGAGCACCGAAATTTCCTTCAAGGGATTCCCAGCCACCCGTATCGTTGTGGTAGATGCAACTGCGATCGCTCGAGTCCACCTTCAGTACTTGGTTTGTCAAACTCGCACCTTCCAGAGGCGCATACTCGATCGAGTCCAACCAGAATACCTGCGTGTTGGGGTCGTCCACGCTGATGGTCATTGAAATTGTGTGTCTTGTCTTTGCGAGATGAGCTTGCTCGCAAAGAACGAGGTTGGTGGTGAAGTATGTGAAGGTATCGTAATCGACAGATGCGACAGGGCTACCGTCGATCTCGCAAGAATACTTCGGAAGGAGATTTAGCGGATCGGTGGAGTTCGCCGCGCGAGGGATATTACGGTTATCCTTCCCACCCTTGACTTGAACGTACTCGCCTAACGAAATTTTACTGGGTCAGAATTCTCTCCGTGGCAAGACCGGTCACGCCCACTCACCCTCAAAGGTGAAGGAGAAACTTGCGCTCCCCGAGCTCGTCCCCTTCATGGTCTCATTGTAAGGCCAACCGAAGACACCGAAGGTGTCGAAACTCAATGCATCAAAGTTCCATGTACCGGTTTCGTATGTGATTCGTGGGTCTGTGTCGTCGACGATAACGCGGCGAGGGAATTCGAACGCGAAGTCTGTCATTGGGCAAGACAACCTTCTCTGAACCTTGAGCGCGAAAGAGCGTGTGGTGGGGAAGGCGGGGCTGTTAGGATCCCACTGAAAAGGTGATTTGACCTTATATACTTCGATGAATAGGAGATTTTCATCAGATGAGGTTGCCACCCATTACCATATTCCGTCAGATCAATAAAATCATAGAAGTTGTTTCATAGCCTTTTCAGATATGAAACCAGGGCCGGAAACCGTAGAGCGCGACGACAGCGTGTCAGTTTCTGAGATGATACTAGGGACCTTTAGGCGAGAGACTGGCAGGGACATTAGAGAGGAAGGTGTGAAGGCAGACTCCGAGAGTGAGAGTGGAACGGACTTTTGACTCAACAAGTCTCCTCCTTTAAATTTTACTCCTTGATCTCAATATATCTCGCACCAGGCTACATCACTAGAGTGCTGTTATAGCTGTTGTCGGAACTTAGGGCGGAAATAGGGTTTTTCCCGCATAAATGGTGAGAACTATTCTTGATTTTTGGAGTTCATCAATCTCCAGTAAAGACCATGTTCTCTACACCGCTGGAACCAAAAAATACAGGGCCATCTAATGGTATAACTCTTGTGTTGAGCGCTGTGCTTGCCCAAGTATTGAAATATATGCAACCCTTTCAGGAAAGATTTCCACGCTGCCCAAGCTTTTCAGACCTTTGAGTTCTGAGGGCTGTGAAAACATCTTCCTCGACGATAGATAGTATAAAGTTATGGTGGCTTACAGCCCTGAATTCTCTGGATATGGTGGTCCACAAACCACATTTCCTGGTGCAAAATGGCAAGCTCTAACAACTGAGTACTGTTTTTTCTCTCTCGCGCGGGAAAAAAATTGTTCCCGCCCTAGGTTCCAACAACAGCTGTAATACAATGTTCATCTTTCACTGGTCCCCCGAAAGGGACTAGCCATATAGACACACCGAAGAATTGTAACGTCAGGAGCGCTCGACCATGCAACGGAATCAAACCCAAAACACTCATGTGTCATATACAACGGATCATGACCAGAGGCTTCCGCACCGTGGGTTGCAACAGTACATCCGAGATACGACTACAAACGAGAGCCATGGCCAAATTGATATTTACCGGCAAACTAGATAACCCTCAATCTAACCTCATGGAAACGAACTTTGTGCCTTCGATATTTAAGAATCCGAGCTTGAATTATGTTTATCCGGACATTTCTGGGGCGTTGAGGATGAGTAATGAGTGAAGTGAGATGAACTCGCGACTCACTTCTCTCTCAACAGCACCAATCATCCCGTTCCTTGACATCCCTAACAGTGAATAGACCAATCACGGTCTCACAAACTGTTGACTGCATTAGTCGACCTATGCCTGCATCAGTAGTCTCCGGGCAATTAAGGAAAGGTAACGTCAAGTCAATTTTCCCTGGTCGTGCTTTGAGCTGTTCAACGATAATTCGGCTACGGATCGGCAGTATACGAGCAATGCAGATGAGACCTGAATAAAAACACAGAGATTGTGGATGAGACTGAAACGATCGTTCTCCTTGCCTTCCTTCTTTTGCTCCGTATATTCTCGCAACTGCTATGGAACTGGCTTTCCGATGCCCCGACACGAAGATCTGGAGATAAGTACTACTTCGATATTGCCGCGATGCCGACTCAATCGTACTGGATTTGGAGCCCACGCTGTGCGTTGCGGAGTCTGGGCTTCCGAGAGTTCCGACTTTTGTGTCGGTGAGGTGATAACGATGGTAGGTCATGGTTACTTATTTAACCACGACTGAGGCTAAAATCTGATCCCTAGCTCCTTCAACCCTATTCGCAGAATAAAACCGACATGTAGGCCTTCCTACGCTAACAGCCAATTGCCAAGCGTCTCATATCTCTTTGATTTCTTTCTCAGTCGGTGATGCTTAGCGCGGTTCATTAGTTTACCCATAAGTGAGGGAACCCTGCTTTGGTATCCCCCCACATTCAGCTGGTTACGATCACAATACATTGATGTATGCAATGCCGAGGGCATTCTGACCATCAGGATCGAATGAAAGGGGCGGAACACAGAGAACATCAATTACGCGTGACAGCACTTATCTCGAGCTCAATATCAAGACGCCGAGAATACCGCATGTTTCTGCACGTGCCTCAGGCCAATACCAGAACGGAGAGTTTATCGCTCAAATATGCAACGCCAGAGTCTTGGGTAGTGTTACCAACGGTACATTCCTTCGAGTTTTTGCACGTTGAAGAGCTTGATTTGAAGAATATCGATCAGATAATATTCTCATCGAGTCAAACCGAATGTAGTCCTGGGCCGATGTTCATTACCAGGAGCTATGTCCCTCTTAGCTCAGTGGTAGAGCGCTTCACTAGTATAAGCCTCGGAGGTGTTGATATTGATGAAGAGGTCAGTCGTTCAAGTCGGCTAGAGGGAACATCTCGAGTGGGTGCCACTTTTTGGCGCACTGGACAGAATAACGATTAATCCTGGAATTTTTGAATCATATATACTCGTTTTGATTCATACAACTCGAAGTACAGTGTACGGTCACATCTTATAACCTACAAATGTACATGGGGGAAGTAAGAGATAGAAGGAAGAAGAAATGTCCGTTATAAAAATCAAACCAAGAGGCCTTTCAATATCAGTAGTGACGAGAGTATCTCAGTGATCTCAGAGCACATTGGGATCGAGATCGATACTGATTCCATGCATCGGGAGGACCAGGTCATCGGTGCAAGGACTGGTGGTCACGGTAGTGGGAATAGTCGTCGTCGGCGTAGGCGAAGTGTAGGAAGTCGTTTCATCGCAGTCCGATGTATGAGGGGCCGTGGTTGGGGAAGTCTGGGGACTCGTGGTCGTACTGACAGTGGTGGGAGTCGTCGGTGTCGGGGAGGTGTATTCAGTGATGGGGGTAGTGATGATCGCGGGTGGAGTGATTGGCGTGGGGGAGGTGTACTCGCTAGTGGTCGTAGTGGCCGTTGTTGAATCGTCGCAATCAGAGGTGTAAGGGACCGTGGTAGGTACGTTCGGGATGATGGGAGTAGTGATGGTAGTAAGGATAGGGGTTGTAGGCGTCGGGGAAGCGTAGTGATCATCAGTGGTAGCAGTGGTGATGATAGTAGGGATTGTCGGGGTAGTAACAATGTAGGGGGCCGTGGTCGTAGTAATCGTCGTCTCATCATCACAGTCAGATGTGGTCGTATAATGGTCTTCGGTGGTAGTGACGATAGGGGTCGTAGGGGTCGGTGAGGTGTGTGGGCTCGTAGTAGTGAAAGTGAAGGCAGTGGTAGTGTCCGGCGTAGGAGATGTGTACCAACCCGTAGTGGTGGTCGTTTCGTCGCAATCGGACGTATAAGTGACCGGGAGCGTGTAGTGAGGACCTGTGATTGTGTGTGAGAAACCGTGGTAGAGAATTTAGGGGTCAAATATACTCACTTGTCGTGGTTGTCGTATCGTCACAGTCAGACGTGTGAATAATGGGAACAGGAATGGGAATCCTCGGTGTCGGGAAGGTGTAGTCACTGCTGGTAGAGGTCGCTTCATGGGACACCGGGATAGGGATCCTGGGCGTAGGGAACGTATATTGACTCGTGGTCGACGTTTCGTCGCAGTCAGCTGTTGGCAAGAGTCCGATCCCGACCGCAAGCCCAGCCTCAAGGTCAACATCTTCGCCCCGGAGCTGAATGGGCGATGCAACGATGACCGGAAAGACCAGAGTGAGAGCGAAAAAGAACTTAATGCTGGTAATGGATGACCTGAGAGAGGCAGTCGTGTTTAGCAGGGTTTATTTATACCTTTTTTCGCGTCTCTCGGAGGAGATATATTTCATTCTATGAGCCGGAGACACATCAGGAGCTATCTGTGAGCAGGAGGATTCAGCTACGGAGAAACATCACCTGTGCGGACGGTTGAGTCAAACGTCAATTCAAGCTTGAGACACCGATTCGGAACGTCAAACCTACACATTCCTCGGGTTTTCTTTGATCATCATCATCTCCGCCGAACTGTGCTGAGGATCCACGTTGCCAACTTGCGTAGTCCAGCCTCTATACAGAATAGCAGTAGTAGCTGGAGGTTACGGGCGAAGGACTTTTACGCTTCTGAATCTTGACCGAGCCAACTTGACGGTCAGTTCCAAACGTAAACCCCACGTGCACGTGACTATTGGAACGCACATGTTCGCCAACCAAAGAGAGCATCAAGATGTACGCCTCCTTCGCCCGTTCTGTTTCTTCAAGGCTTCAGGGTGTCGGTACCGATTCTGACCTTGTAACCAAGATCCATGATGCGTACAAATCGTCGTCCTTTCTCTTTGTATACGGGTCAGCGACCAGGGCTTCAACTTCTTCCTTCAAGCATAATCTCGGTTTACTCAGATTAGAAGAATAAAGGGCGGGAGGTGGTTGGAATACATAGGGGAAAGTAGGAGGTACTCTGCCATGACTCATGGCGCTGACAGTGACTCAATATCAATGCTCGTTAAGAAGCCGTTTTCACGTATCGTCCGGTGCTGGGGAAACCTCTTGAAGTAGCTGAATGTTGATAGAACAAACACCGATAGTGTGTACCTTGCCTAACGTCATCGAATCTTCCTCCTCAAAGCTCATTTTCCCCTCCCAGAGCAACGGCCACACCAGCGATGAACGGAGCAAGTCGGACAAGGCAGGCCGGCTCAAGATCCCGAAGAAAAGGTTCAGTTAAAACATGCTCGATGGTCCTGTAGCCTATATATCTGATCTCGAACCAAGTTACAGCTCTTTGGTACCCATCTGTAGCAGAAACTATTATGAGACGTCTCGGTGCCTCAAATTCAATTGCTTTTTGTCGACGACCTCCTGGGGTCACCCCTCTTCCCAAGTCATTCAAGGATTCTATAAACGTACGCTAGGTTTGCTTGCTGGCGATCAGGATGGTTTAGGCTTTGGCAAAATAGGGGTAGGTACGTCTATGGTCTTGTTACTCTTTCGGGGTTGTTGTTCTTTAGCTAATCCGGGGATAGGTTCTATCGTATCCATTATTGGTGTATAGAACCCCTCGTGAAACAATATTCCATTCAACTGTAGCTTCGTCGATAGTGATGTGCGGGCTCGGGCTTGAGCCCTGGCAAGCCCAAGCCTAGCCCGGGGCTTGAGACTCTGTAAGCCCAAGCCCTGGGCTCGGGCCCTCCTTCTCATCTGCAAGTGATATGTGGTCGTGTGTCAGATAGTGTACTCATTATAGTGCCATTGACTCCTAAGACTAATGGCAAGTGTCCCTTTCATTTTTTTGCTGAGGCTAGTTACTCACCAAGTACCCACTGACCAGTGTTTTCTTATCATCAAATCAGGAACCTGTGCAACTTGTACCTTGGTGGTGGCCCAATCCACGTACCACTGAGTGGTAGGAAGCTTTTCAGGCCATAGGGTACACAATCTGACATCCATATTTATTCTTGTGCAGCTTTATGTATGTTCGTACTTGAGCCCCGGCCCAGGCCCGAGCCGTGGGGCTTTGACATCGGGCTTGGGCTCAAGGCTCGGGCTTCAAATCTTAGTGAGCCTGAGCCCTCCAAGCCGAGCCCAAGCCCGAGGCTTTGAGCTCAGCTCAACCAGTGGTCGACGTCCTTGTTAGGCTCGCACTGTTACTCGTCCAACAAGCTACGTTGCCGATGTTATTGTCGACAGAACGAACGGCAAATTTCAGTGCTTGTGCCAGTTAAGCATCCGAGGTATGTACCTGGCATGGCTTCAAAAAGCCCCTTTACCTTGCCTCGATGCCTCATAAGTGTCAACGGCAGATTTATCCAGATATGGGATATAGTTGTCTCGAGGTATGTGGTCTCAGTTTCATCTGTGATCTCGCTGATTTGGCTCATATCCTTGGCCAAACAATACGTTTGCCTGGGTGTTGAAGATTCGAAGTTGGCCGAAGTACGTACGGCGGCTTTCTCGGCGTTGTTGATTCATCGTTGACTAAACTTTTTCGCCTCAAGGTTTGGCGAATAAAGGTTTTTTGCTGGAAAATGACAGCTCTGCCTCGTTAGCAGGCCGTATAGCACGAGAAGCTCTGGGCTTAGTACGGGAGGCAGCTTTCGCCCAATTGATTATCGTCGAGGAGATATGTACACAGCCCAATTCCATGTACAATCTTCTAACCCTCGTTCTCCGTACCCTCCGGATGCTTTCGAGTCTGGACAGGGAAACCAGCGAACACATTGAGTGTATAGGGACGGTCGAGAAAAACTGGGCAGTGCATTTGTTCGACGTCCGACGGTGCTCCATCCAAGCTCCAGTTGAGAGTTCAAAACAACGAAAATGTACCGTAGATTTTCGTTGTTTTGAACTTCAGAGTAGGCCTGATTGGACAGTTTAGGGTGAACGGAGGACGACTCTAACTAGTGTAAAAGTTACCTCAAATTTCAGCCGTTCTGTTCGTTACCAACTACTTAGCAGCCTGTTACATAAAGACTAAATAAATGAATCATGAGGCTACCAAGCGTGGATTGTGATAATGGAGAATCTCAAGAAAAGATTGGTGGGCTAGGTTGGGGTAAAAGTCAGTGACTTGTTAGAAAAGCGAACAGAGGAAACGTACCAGCGTCGTCACCAAAGTCTATGACAATCCATTCGATGTTGCCTTTCGGGTGATACGCATGTGTGCGTGAGCCAACGTCACTTTCAGGGCGAGGATTATGACCAAAAGTAATAGGCCTCTCTCCATACTGATCATGATCTTGAGGAAAAGGCCCTTGGTTGTCCTTGGCTGGTGGGTCGGTGACGACGAGCGAGCGAGACTTACTTGCGCCACCACTCCCATCATGCCTCGTGCTTTGTGCATGGCGATCAAGGTCGAACTCTACTGGAGGAGACTGATCTTCTTGAACTTTGGTGAGGTCGAGAGGATCAACATGTTTCGTGCTAGTAGTTGTTCGTTGAAATTTCATACAAATGACTCGCTGCAGACTAGTTGGGTTCCCGTTTGTAGCACGGAAAGAACGTCCAATCTGCCCTTGGCGTTCGACTTGAGTCAGGAAGTCCAATGGGAAAAGTTGACCATTACTCGGGTCCTATGAAGGCAAACGAAACGAATGTTAAAAAAGAGAAAAGACAGTATAAAAATCAAAATTCGATCTCTAAAAGAACTGATAGCAGGGTACTCACACGTTCTTTCTGTATCTTCAACATTCCATTTTCCACGTATAACCAACGATCCCTCCAATCCAATTTTGATTTTCTTCTACTCACCGCAGCGCTCTCATCCCCACTCTCCCGCTTCTTTCCTAACCATTTTCTTGACACAGCTGACTGCTCGGGCTCTCTTGCAACGACGCGAAGTCTTTTTACGCAGCCCTCCCAGCACGACTGCACGTACTTGTGTATAATGGTTTGGGGTAAAGTGACCACCTCGTTCGTGATGGTCGAGTCCAGTATAGCAGAGGACATGGTTCTGGCG